GTCTATTTTGTTGATCTTTTCAAAAAACCAGCTCCTGGATTTATTGATTTTTTGAAGGGTTTTTTGTGTCTCTATCTCCTTCAGTACTGCTCGGATCTTAGCTATTTCTTGTCTTCTGCTAGACTTTGAGTTTTTTTGATCTTGCTCCTCTAGCTCTTTCAGTTTTGACGATAGGGTGTCAATTTTTGATCTCTCCTTGCTTCTCATGTGGGCACTTATTGCTATGTGTTTTCCTCTAGAGACTGCTTTAAATGTGTCCCAGAGATTTTGGTATGTTGTGTCTTCATTCTCGTTGGTTTCGAAGAACATCTATTTCTGCCTTCATTTCATTGTTTATCCAGTCAACATTCAAGAGCAAGTTGTTCAGTTTCCATGAAGCTGTGCGATTCTGGGTTAGTTTTTGAATTCTGAGTTCTAACTTGATTGCACTGTGGTCTGAGAGACTGTTTGTTACGATTTCCGTTCTTTTGCATTTGCTGAGGAGTGATTTACTCCCAATTATGTGGTCAATTGTAGGGTAGGTGTGATGTGGTGCTGAGAAGAATGTATATTCTGTAGATTTGGGGTGGAGAGTTCTGTAAATGTCTATTAGGTTTGCTTGGTCCAGGTCTGAGTTCAAGTCCTGGATATCCTTGTTAATTTTCTGTCTGGTTGATCTGTCTAATGTTGACAATGGGGTGTTAAAGTATCCCACTATTATTGTGTGGGAGTCTAAGTCTCTTCGTAAGTCATTAAGAACTTGCCTTATGTATCTGGGTGCTCCTGTATTGGGTGTGTATGTATTTAGGATGGTTAGCTCTTCTTGTTGCATTGATCCTTTTACCATTATATAATGTCCCTCTTTGTCTCTTATGATCTTTGTTGCTTGAAAGTCTAATTTATCAGAGATGAGAATTGCAACTCCTGCTTTTTTTTGCTCTCCGTTTGCTTGGTAAATTTTCTTCCATCCCTTTATTTTGAGCCTTAGTGTATCCTTGCATGTGAGATGGGTTTCCTGGATACAGCACACTGTTGGGTTTTGGCTTTTTATCCAATTTGCCAGTCTGTGTCTTTTGATTGGGGCATTTAGCCCATTTACATTTAAGGTTAATATTGTTATGTGTGAATTTGATACTGCCATTTTGGTGCTAGCTGGCTGTTTTGCCCTTTAGTTGAGCTGGTACTTGTTGATCCTTTATATGTGTAGAGCCTCTTTCAGGAGTTCTTGTAGAGCTGGCCTGGTGGTGACGAAATCTCTGAGTACTTGCATGTTCCCAAAGGATTTTATTTTTCCTTCACTTATGAAGCTTAGTTTTGCTGGATAGGAGATTCTGGGTTGAAAGTTCTTTTCTTTAAGGATGTTGAATATTGGCCCCCACTCTCTTCTGGCTTGTAGGGTTTCTGCTGAGAGATCTGCTGTGAGTCTGATGGGCTTCCCTTTATGGGTAACCCGACCTTTCTCTCTGGCTGCCCTTAGTATTTTCTCCTTCATTTCGACCCTGGTGAATCTGATGATTATGTGCCTTGGGGTTGCTCTTCTTGACGAATATCTTTGTGGTGTTCTCTGTATTTCCTGGACTTGAATGTTTGCCTGCCTTGCTAGGTTGGGGAAGTTTTCCTGGATAATATCCTGAAGAGTATTTTCCAGCTTGGATTCATTCTCTTGATCGCATTCGGGTATGCCTATCAAACGTAGATTAGGTCTTTTCACATAGTCCCACATTTCTTGGAGACTTTGTTCATTCCTTTTTACCCTTTTTTCTCCAGTCTTGCCTTCCCGTTTTATTTCATTGAGTTGGCCTTCGAACTCTGATATCCTTTCTTCTGCTCGGTCTATTCGGCTGTTGATACTTGTGCATGTTTCAAGAAGTTCTCGTGTTGCGTTTTTCAGCTCCATCAATTCACTTATATTCCTTTCTATTTTGTCCATTCTTGTTAGCATTTCGTCCAATCTTTTCTCAAGGTTCTTAGTTTCTTGGCATTTGGTTAGAACATGTTCTTTAAGTTCACAGAAGTTTGTTACTACCCACCTTCTGAAGTCTGATTCTGTCATTTCATCACACTCGTTCTCCCTCCAACCTTGTTCCCTTGCTGGTGAGGAGTTGTGATCCCTTTTAGGAGGAGAGGTGTTCTCGTTTCGGGTGTTTTCATCCTTTTTTCGCTGGTTTCTTCCCATCTTTAAGGATTTATCCACCTGTCGACTTTGTGGTTGTTGGCTTTCAGATTGGGTCTCAAATCTTTCAGATTGACAGTCTGTTTGTTGTTGATGAGGTTATTTCTGTTTCTTGGTTTTCCTTCTGATAGTCTGGCCCCTCTGCTGTAGGTCTGCTGAGGTTCACTCCAGGCCCTGCTTGCCTGGGGTTCACCTGCAGCAGCTGCTGAACAGCAAGGGTTGTTACCAGTTTTCTTCTTCTGCTATCTTTGTCCCAGAAGGATACCTGCCTAGTGTCAATCTGAACTCTCTTTTATGAGGTGTCTTTTTGGATATATAGGGGTCAGAGAGCTGCTTGAGGAGAAGATCTCTTCTTTATAGGAGCTCAAATGGTGAGCTGCGAGCTCTGTTGTTGTTCATTCAGAGCTGCTGGGCAGGTACTTTTAGGTCTGCTGCAGCAGAACTCATAAACTGCTTTTTGTTCCCAGGTGCTCTGTCCCAGGGATTTAGGGCTTTATTTATGGGTTTCCGTTATGCTGCCGCCTTCTTTTTTTTTTTTTTTTTTTCCTTCAGACCTGTCCAGTCCAGCAAGGAGGCAGCCTAGTCACTGTCGGCCTATAGCAGCTTTGCTGAGCTGCTGTGGGCTCCGCCCAGCTGCCAAGTGAACTTCCCTGCAGTCCTGTTTATATGGGTGTAGTTAGAACTGCTTTGGTGATGGTGGCCGGCCTCTGTTGGGGTGGAGTCTCTGCTGTGGCCGGTTGCCTTGGCAACAGCGGGCTGCCTCAGCAGTGGCGGGTTGCCTTGGCAACGGCGGGCTGCCTCAGCAATGCCTGGGTAATGGCGGACGCCCCTCCCCCACAGAGCTGGACCGTCCCGGGTTCAGCTGTGCTTGCTGTGAAACTCTCAATCCAGAGTTTCTGGTTGCTGTTCTTTTGTGCGGGTGGGGCCAGCGGAGCCTGATCGCCTGACTCCCTGCCTCAGAGCCTTTTTTAAGCTGGTGTTCCAGTCGCCTGTTGAAGAGGCGCCGGGGTCTGTTTTTTTTCCCCTGCGGCCACTCACTGCGCTGGCTTAAACAGCGGCACTGAGTTTTA